ATGGCATCTAGCTGTTCACCCTTCATTTAGTGCGGTAGCAAAATCATGGATGGTTTCAACCAGCTGTGTAGTGGTAGAATATCCACGTCTAAATCCATGCTGCGCTTTTGTTAGTACTTTGTGTTCATCAAGAAATGTAACAATCTGTTTGTGAATTATGTGCTCGAGAATTTTACAAGCTGTAGAGGTTAACGAAACTGGTCGATAATTCTTTATTTGAGTTTTATCACCTGCTTGTGTAGAGGCTTAATTCGAGCAATCTTCCAGTCCTCAGGGAGTACACCTTCGTTCAAAGACCTAGTATATAACACACACAAATATTTCGCGCACCACTCTGCGTACCGTTTTAAGAAGGCATTCGGTATCTCATCTGGTCCAACAGATTTCTTAACATCCAGATTTAGCAATAAATTAAAGATACCCTCTTCAGAAATAGTGACATCTGATATTGGTGGTAGGTTCGCATCGAAAGGTGGGAGATGATTATTATCTTTTGTATAGACGCTGTTGAAATAGTTATTAAAGGCCGTACAGACAGCTTTTTCATCACTCTCTAATTTTCCATCTAAAAGAAATACATCGGTAGAGCACGTGCCCGGAGTGACCTCTTTCCAAAATTTTCTTGGACACGTTTTAATAAATGACGGCAATTTTTCGTTAAAATACTTTTCTTTGTCACGAAAAGATTTTTCTTTAATTTCTTCACGTATATTGCAAATAGTTGTTTTTAAATTAGGACTGTTAGCCTTGTTCGACCTTTTTTTTAACCGTTTCAACTTTCGCTTCAGCTGTAACGTCTCTCTTGTTATCCAGGGATTGTGATTCTCTACTTTCTTTGTAATTAAAGGGATAAAACGCTGCACACAATCTTCAATCATTCTCTTAAAGCAAAGCCACAGATCTTCAACGCTACGATTACTTGCATTGAAATGATCATATTCAAACACTTGGAGTGTTCACTGGTTGGACGGACGCATGAACGGAGATGCATGGATGAATGGACGCACGGACCGATGCACGGACGGATACATGGACGGACGGACGAACGCATGAACGAACGGGCGCACGGACGGTCACATGGAAGGACACACGGATGGACGGAAGCAAGAACGAACGTACGGATGGAAGCGTGGACGAACTGACGGAGGCTTCGCTCCACTCGATATCATGTACTACGTGGATATGCTGCAATTTTTAAAGACGACAGTCTTTCTTGGGGACTTTCGATGCAAAAAGTTGGTCTGTCTACCTGTCTGTCTATATATTTGTCTGTTTGTCCACCCTTAATGGTACCCTAAACAGCACCAAAGCGGCCAAAGGATACCCCAAACGGCCGACCCCATCTGCAGCACCCACCAATATTGCTCAAGGTTCAGCGTTCATACTTGTGCGATTGTCAATTAAAGCGCAATTATTACGCATATCCGAGGCACCATAACAACACTTAAATATTCTGTGTGTGTGTCTCTTACTTGGAAAGGCACACATAGGTGATTCTAAGGACCATAGCATTTATTACGCTGCGCTGACCCTGCAACGCTTGCACGAAAAGGCAAGTGTTTTCGACGCTTTGCTAAGACGAAACGGTGGTGGCACCTACCCGACCCCTTGCGTTGTACGCGTTATTACTAGAGGCCGGATTTTTAGGCACTAGAAAGTGTGTTTTAAGCACCAAAGTCAAACTGGTAAAACACTGTTTTAGGGCCTCAATATCACATATAGGCACAATAAATTTCTACGGAAATTTGAATGTGCTGTAGCAACGAAGTAAGTGACTAGTATTTACGGCAAAAACAAAAAAAAATGATTTTGTTTAAGATACCAGAATTGTACCAACGAGTGAACATAGGCATGCGTTTCCCGTGCGATTCGCAATATGTGGTCTTTCGTTTTACTGTCTAGCATTGTGCGTCAAGTGTCCATCTTTCAATTAACACTCTCCTGGGCCTCTTTCGTTTCGTTGGGGCTGGGAAGGGCAGCGCAGGTGCAAATAACCAGACCACGGATACCCCAGAACAGAGAATGAATTCCGTAGAGCCACTTCCCTCATATCGGTGAAAACCTTAAAGGGCTCCTCACTAGGTTTGGGCATTTCAAGTTGACAAGCGTAACGGTGCACTGGGCACGCCGGATCATTCCTATTAAGATTTCCAAATTACATGTCGTGGAAAAACGCTCAAATTCTAATGAATGCCACCCTCCTTCTCGCGGGCTTGTGCCCCAAGGTCTAGGAAGAGACTATACCATTGCGTTGCAATGGATTCCCAGTTATTGTGGCATAGCTGGAAATGAACAAGCTGATGCAGAAGCGAAAATGGCGCACACTAGTGGCGAAGTGATATCGATTCACTTTTCCCGATACGGCATGAACGCCTTGCTGTCTAAAGGTATGAAGGCATCTATGCAACGACTATGAAATGATCCGGATCATTGTCACAAGCGCATTTAGAGGCTTGACTCTTGTCGTGTTTTTCGCCTTTCGTTCCGACTAAGGAGAGACCAAGAAACGCTACTACATAGACTGCGGCTGGGTGTTGCATACACGCGAAGATACTTATGCATGATAGGACAACTGAAAAATCCTAACTGAAACTTGTGTAACACGCCAGCAACTATTAATCACATCCTGTGTGTGTGCCCTTTATACGCAGTTGAAAGACAATCTCTTAAGTGCCTTACAGATGACCTAGACAGCCGACCCTTTTCGGAGGAGAAACTTTTGGGTGCTTGGGAACGTGTGGATCACGCTCAACGCAGCTTAAAGGGCCTGCTCGCATTTCTAAGCAAGGCAGTTTTAGATTCCCTTCTTTAGAGAATCTGATTATGTAGATTCTTTTCAGCGTGTACTACACCGAACAAAACATTGCGTGCAGTGACTAAATGTGCTATACCACAGTCCCCCCTCATCATACCCTCCTCTTTCTTTCCCTTTTTCCCTTACCCCCGCGTTGAGTAGCAGGCCAGAAACCCGCTTTCAAGGCCGACCTCTCCTCCTTCTTCTCATTAAGCACCTTGTTCTTCTTCTTTTTCTTCTACAGAAAGGAATGGTTCTGCTTTTACGTCGCTCCTTTACGTTGACATTAGTAGGCCTACGGCCCATACCGTACGCTCTTCATCAGAACTTCGTATATATATCTAACAAAACAGAAGAAAAATGTCCCTTCTCCTGTATATATCCTGCATTTTTACGGTAGCTCATTAAGAGCGTTGCACATGACATTACTATACTTTGCATGTGTAATTTGTGTGTTCTGTTATGTAGCATGAATGAGGAGAACTTTAGTTTGGGCTAGCTGCTTTATAACACTTTGAAAGGGAAGCGCAAAGACAAAGGGAAGAGAAAGACAGTGCTCTCTGTCTCTACGTTTTTCTTTTCCGTGTGTCTTTGCAATGCCCTTTCAAGATAAGTGTAATGAATAAAATCTGAGAAAAGTAATAAAAAACATGGAAACGGAATCTCAACTTGTAAATATTTTCATTTTTTTAATACCTTCGAGACGCTATCATTCAAACAGCCCTTGTTTCGCGTCGGCCTCGGTGGACTAGTCGCTATAGGGTGCATCGTTGCTGACCCCAATGCTGCTGGTTCCATTGTGGACGCAGTGGTCACGTCTACATGGAGGCGAAAAAGTAGATGCCCTTGTACTGCGCAATGTCAGTGCGTGTTAAAAAACACCAGATGGTCAAAATTTGCGGAGACCTCCACTACAGCATCCTTCATATCCATATAGTGTTCTTTTTTACGTACAACCCCACATACTACCACTACTGCTACTACTATATACTACTACTAGCTACTACTTTGACTACTACTCCTAATACTACTACCCCAATTTGCTTGCGTTAGTCTTCTTGTCGTTCCTGCGTCGTGCCTTCGCCAACCCTGACAACGCTTAGCTTGTGTTTTGTGCGTCGTCTCTGACTGCAGTTTCAGTGGAGCGACCTGGTGTATCGCGGTCACAATACGTGATCCTTGCCAGCCTCTACTAAAGTACACGTACTGACTGGTCCATCCCACTGAAACGGGCAACACACCACAGAAAACACCAAAACGACACAATTTCATGAGCAAATTCATGAGTAAAAGACCAAATTCGTGAGCAAATCTATCAAAACATCGATCCTGTTGTTTCCAAACTATGTCATTGTCATGTTGTTATGTAACGTTTATGAATTCAGTGATCTTGGTGTTCTTTTTGACAGCAGCTAATTTTTCCTGCTCACACTAAGTGTGCCGCCATGCCTGACCTTTCTCTTGTCCGTGTTTGCAGAACAGCGCTGTGTGGGTGTGTGTCTTTTCTAAATGTTCCATCTTTTTTTGCGCTGATAAATCTTTCTATATAATCTCTGGAGAATTCAGTTTTCCTAGAGCCTCCCACAAATTGTACACTGTATAATGTCTTTCTCAACTTGTATATGCATCTGTGATATCTAATGGCATTGCTAAATATGGCAGTGATGCAATTGAGTAAGTCCAAAAAAACATAAGCATTCACAACCATCGTTTCGCTAGAAATACCTCTGGATCTTATTGAAACACTGCTCGATTATTATCATTAAAGTTGTCCTTTGTTCTTTGCAGTGTGTTCATTGTGTGTTATTCCACCATAGCGCCTACATGAAGCGTTCATCGCGAAACGTTGAGCAAGTAGTTTTGAGCTTGCACCACATGGTCGCACCATGTGCAATTTTTAAGCACTATTACGGTCGTTAAGCCAAACATACAAACTTTATCATTAAGTTGACCAATTCAGCTGACGATCAGCGTAATAATGTAGTGGCCGCAATAATGACGAAGATGTTGATGATTAAATTCCGCTTCATTAAGACATTACATTAATAAGTCACTTAATAGGCTTTTTTGTCACGATTGAAAATCTGGAATGTTCGAGATTAAGAAGATGTTCAGGTATTCCGCAAATCTATTGCTCCATCTACGTTTGTTATTGGGGGTTTGCAAACGCAAGCTACCAGATATAACTTGCTTCTATTTATGGCAGGAAAATGCAGTGCCCAACTAAAAAGTGGCTGCAAGATTCAAGAACTGCGAGACTGCGGGTCCGACTACGTGGTGTATAGCAACACCACAAGGCTGGCAGAGGGTGGGCAGGAGTTCGAGCACGACTGCAAGTGAGTGGTTGGAACATCACGCGTCATTCCGGAAGTCTCATCGCCAAGCCTGTGTTGGATTTTCTGTGCTTATCGGTGCAAGCTGGTTACGATTAAAAGGCGAGGCTGAGAGCTCGTGTTCCAATCAGCGAGACACAATGAAGGAATATTAGCCTTCATTCCATGAAGGAAGAAAACTTGGTCCAAAGAAATATCGAGAGCTACCGAAGCACACCGATGTGATTCGGTCTTTTTTTTTATTCAGAGCCATATATTGTAATTAAAGGCATAATATGCTCTTGTTAAACCCTTCTACGAAGACGTAGAGGTTGTCATTATTAAAGTAAAGACACAGTATACTATTCTGATGCGCGACTTTAATGCCAAAGTAGGCAAAAAACAGACTGGAGGTCATGTAGCGGGACAGCATGGCATTGGCTCTATAGGAATGCCAGTATTAGCAGTAAGCAACTTTATTAAGGCAGCTGATGGTTTCCTAAGTGGCGAGGGCTGTCACGTCATGTCTGGTCACCGCCTCGTTAGCGCGTTTGATGGCCCGCAGCGAAGCAGCCAGACTTGTGGTCGTGAGGAGTCTCTCCCAGCCTCACTTGAAGGTGACTGTTCTAGGAGGTTTGGGGGAGGGGGGATCTTTGCTGCATCCCCAGATTATGTGGCCCAAGGTAGCGGTCTGTGTTTTGCAGAGGGGTGTTATTAGTCAAGTTCGCAAAACGTAACAACCTTTTACAGCGAACGGGCACACCGTAAGTGGATGTGGCGGAGCCCAAATCAGGGAATCGACGAATCCTACGTAAATATATTAGAAAGAATCTACAGCGCATACACGGCCAACATGTTTCTCCCCACAGAAAGCGACAGAATCCCCATAAAAAAGAGTGTAAGAAAGAGAGACATGACCTCTCTAATGCCATTCACCATGTCATTAAAGAAGGCTGTCAGGGTCTTAGATTGAACAAAGTTAGGAATAAGCGTTAATGTAGAGTATCTTAGGAGCCTGCGATTCATGGATGTCATTGCTTTGATGAGTAACTCAGGGGACAAAATACTGCTCATTATTACAGGAATTGGACACACAAAGCATAAACGTAGGCCTGAAGGTTGATATGCATCAAGCCAAAGTAATGTGCAACAGTTTCGCCAAAATACAGCGCTTTGTAATAAGTGCAGAGTCGTTAGAAGTGATAAAAAATACGTCTAATTAGAACAGGCCGTATTCGTGGAGGTGAACCCTGAGAGCGAAGTAAGTAGAAGAATAAAAATAGAGTGAATCACAATCTGCAAGCATTCTCAAATTGCGAACGGTAATCTACCACTAGTCCTGAGGAGGAAGGTATATGACAGCTGCATCTTGCAGGTACTTATATTTACAGTGCGGAAACCGGGGGGCATTCAAAGAAGGTTCAGCTTAAATTGAGGATGACACTGCGGGCGATGGAAAAGAAAATGATCGGAATAACCTTAAGAGACAAGAAGAGAGAAGAGTTGGTCACAGAAAAAAAAACGAGCTTAAGGGTATTGTAGTTGAAATTAAGAAGAAAAAATGAACATGGGCCGGGCACGTAGCGCATCGGCAACATAACCGCTGCTCATGATTGGCAACTAACTGGATTTCCAGGGAAGGCCAACACACTAGGGGGAGGTAGAAAGTCACGTGGGCTGATAAAATTAAAATGTTTGCAGGTATAAAGTGTAACCAGAAAACACAAACCGGGCTGATTGGCAGATCATAAGAGGGGCCTTTATCCGGCAGTGGACTCAGTCAGGCTGATGATGATGATGATGATGGCAACAGGAACATGAGTATTACCATAAGCTATAACATGGTGTGAAGCGCTGGTGTTCGCGAGGGTGGTGGTTCTGGACACTGCTATACATAAATCAGTTTCAGCGGATGGCGCTTGCCCTTGATGGACGGTAACCCGGCGTTACGAATTTATCATAGGAGTACATATGTAACCTTTATAAGACTGGATAGGCAGTCTTATGAACCACAGTTGACGTTTCACGAACATTAGCGTCTACTAAAAAAGCAGTTCAGAGACCTGGCGTAGCTCCGTGGTAGAATACTTTACTGCCACTCAGGATGCTTGGGTTCAATTTTCGCCGAGAACCTGGCATTTATTATTTTCATTCGTAAGGTAAACACTGCCGATGTCAGCTTTTCTTCATCGCTCAGGCGTCGAGAATATCCATGTCTGTTCTTGTTGTTCTTGGGCGCATACGAACTGTCAATCACGTGTGGCTCATGCTCGCATACCTGTGGCACGTATTCCCCTTGCAAATGTGTGCCGCACGTCTGGGGAAAGGGTTTCATGACGTACACGATGAGGTTGTGACACTATCAATGTGATGACCAGCGAGTCATGTTCGTCAAACCATCTCACCATCCCATACTAATTTTGGTTTACCCCAAGATGAAAGAACGCTCACGTGTGCACCCAAACGTAGGCGCCTAGATTGATTGACAGGTATCTATGTAGATGCTAAATTTGACTGCAGTGTGCAAAGACATGCTTCGCAAGAAAAAAAAAACGCCGCATAGACTGCTACTCGATGACCTCTTTTGCATGGCATCGATTCCCAAAATGCGTACAATATATGATACATTTTGTTTCTGCAGACCTTTATTTTTTTTCATTTGCCATATTCTACGAGTGAGCTGACTCCGCTTTCATAAAATACTCTTCTAACCCACACGTATTCACTATCCTTACAGGTTGTACCTGAAGCAGATCGAATGTTCGAAAAAATTTGGCGAGCGATGTCTGGAAAACATCGCCCGCGTAGTGACTATGCTGGCTTTGAACGCCGCTGAGGAGGACTTTGAAGCCGCCTGCACCGAGGGCAATGACCGCAACCAACGTGAGTCATAACAATAATGCTATTGGTCGTTCTCGAGAACTCTTCACAAGGTACACTAGTATTTCTCTCTAATGAAAATCAGGGGTACATGTGAGGGTTTTGTGTGAAATTTTTCTCGATAGTGTTGCCACTGAAACCTACTGAATGTCATTGCTTACACCAACTTTCACAAAGCATACGTATTTCAGTATACTCTCCCCTATATTTTTCATATATTTTTGACATATTTGCATAAAAAATTTCCCTTAGCGTATGGAAATCCCGAATTGTCATATTGAATATTACAGTAGGGCTGCTGCTTCTGATAATTCTTTTTTAGATGAAAGATTTCCTGGCACCTTAGGAAAAGTTCAAGTGCATCTTGAAAACTGTTCTTCTGAGCTATTTAGTGAATTCAGTGCTGCTTCCTATCTTTCTTTCTTCACTTGGCAATTCATAATCATCCGACTGAAACTATTCGTTTAAATGAATCATCATATACTGGAACATTTTTTTCAATTAACAATGCACTATTTTTCGAGAATTTTGGAAAATGGTGCAGGATATGTAGGCTAAGTCATCCGTTCAGCAAGAAATGTCTTTCTATATTTACTTGAAGAGCAAAAGGTAAAAAACTGGGCCAGTATCTGCGAATACAAAAAAAAAACTAGTTTATTCCAGCAACTTTTGAAGCTACCTGGGAAGCGAATGATGGCTGATTTACTACGACTCCCATTTAACGCGCTGCCAAAACCGTACTTTTTTCTTGTATTTTTATCGCCAAAGTGTTAGTTTCACAATTCGGAAACTGAATAGCCTCTGAGGCCGCTTAGAACACGACCCGGATATCTCTACATCAGCTCATACACCCTAAAACTAAATAATAAATGTATCAAGAACGCTAGTTTTCAATAAAATGTGTGCACGTTTAAAGTTCTTTATTTCAGTAGCATTGTACTTGCATCTTTTTCACAACACATTCTGTTTCGCGACATGCATTGTGTTCTATGGTTTGCAGCATCTTCTTTGCGTTTCGTGTACGATCTTAGTTTGTGTTTGCCGTCTGTGTGACATCTTCTTTGTTTTTAGCGTACTGGTGATAAGTTGCAAGCCTTGCACATTAATGTGGCTATATGGTTTTGCTGACGAACAGCGAAACAACATGGATTCCGAGTCCTATAGGGCTCCGCAGTAGTAACTACATTTTCACAGCTGGTAGCACATCAGATTGTCAATTAAATGCAGTGATCCGTTGCACTGCATTGAACCACAATCATAACGTTTTTTAAGGTTAGCAAGAACATTTAACTTTGTTTATAAGCAGATGACGTACTCGCTGCAAATATTTGGGTGCGATAGAAAATCGGTTGTATACAATGAAAGGATGATAGAAATAACGTAACTTTGAAGTTTTCATTCCCAAAACTACACTTTTAAAGAACCTATATAGTTAGAGAACCAAAAGTTTACGACATATACGACATAAATAAGATGGAATTTGTTAACCTCACACTTATTTTTTTTTTCGTGCAGTGTACATGTCTAGCATCAAATGCATGAACTCCGTTGGGTCCAAACTGAACGTGTGCATCAAGAACCTCTACGAGGGTCTGCAGACAGCCGTGACCAGCGCACAACGCGAAGAAATCGTCTACTATTCCTGCTGGTGAGCCGAATATTTTTGTTTCTGACACATGTACAGCCTTTACATAGCACTAAACTGTCCTGGCAAGTATCCTGCAGATTGTGAAAGAGCTTGGCCATTATTCTCTGAAAAGTGTGTCGAGTGGGTTGTTGAAACTCCTATTGTATATCACGTGACCGAAGTAATGAGATCAATAAATTGGTCAATCGATCAATCAATCAGTCAGCTGGTCGGTCAGTCTGTCATTTAACGTGCCAGGTTATTTTCGTACCGGACAGACCTTTGACCAATATTCATTTTAGCTTCGTCCAAATGTCTTGAACACAGTTGAAGGCGAGTATCATTTACGAATTAAGTTCGCGAACTCGGCCCGTACCGTTTGATGAGGTTTTGAGTTTAGTTTATTCAAGTTCTCTCAACCCTGCTTTAATGCCGAAACACGTTTTCAAAATGGAAGTGTCTATGACCGTTAGACATTTCTCTGGCATGTTTTCCGCAAATAACACAAAAAAGCAATAAAGAACACATGTAAGGATGCAGACTAGGTGCTTGTGTGTTCAATATGGACTTTCAAGAGCAAAAAAATTAGTGCGTAACACCCCCCAAGGTAGCCTGTCACTGTGCAGCATTCTTAAGCCACCAGGTCACAATTGCGGCAGTCGTGATGTCCCGCCACACTTTCCACTCTTGAGTGCCATTTCCCCCGGAGCCACGTGGCTGCGGTACCATGCCACAAGGAGAACATTCAACGGCTCTTTTGCTGGCACTTGGTCGCTCACGGACAGTGCAGCCGCTGGGTCGTTGGCACATGCTCTCCACTTAAAAGAACATGCTGAATCAAGTTATTCACTATATGTAGCCAGACTGCAGGCTACGAGATATGAAGTAAAAGTGAAGATGCTCGTTGAAACACATGAAAAAAGGGAAGCCAGATTAGTGCAATATGAAGAAGCCCACCAAACGCGGAACCGTGCCAAGAACAGTGCTGCAACAGCCGCGGCCTGTCTACATAGTCTTTGCGAAATCAAACGAAGGATACTTTTCGATCATCAAAACTAGGTTTACAAGAGTTAAAAAGCAAGCCTTTTTTTCACGTGCATAACGTTTGTGGATGATTTGTTTTTCATATATATTTTCTTGCTTCACCACTGTTCATCTCTGTTCTCTCGCAGCTCGTACCACAGCACGGTTGACTGCGTCGAAGCAGCGTTGGCCGAGTGCGACGAGCCAGACTCGCCGGCACGCGAGTACATCACCACCGTCATGGATCGAGTCTTCGGCCAAGTACTGGGCCTCGTCTGTGGACCCTACTCGCGTGGATCTTCAAACTGCCAAGAGCAGCCCCCTCTGCCACCTCTGGCTGCCAACGTGGCCAGGACACCCAGTCTGGTCGAGCTTGCCATCGAGGTTGCCACCTCGCTCCGAAAGAAACCCTAGACATAGCGTTCAATTAGCATACCTTGTACACGTTGAAAATTGTGGTCGTAAATTGAAATGATACGACCCGTTCGAAGCCAACGTTTCAAGCCTAGAGCATTTCGCATTTATTATATTTTGTTGCTATAATCCTAAAGGACACATTGTCGAAGGCAGGGAAAAACGGGTTATCTTCGTAAAGGGAAATGGTACCAAGTAATTTTGATAAACTATGAGTACATTATAAAACATCGGGCACTTCCACTTTTTTTAGACATGTTCAGAAAAGCATAAAACATACTGTGCAATTTTGTGTATATATATATACATGAAGGTTTACATGAGCAGGCAACGTTATATCAGTTTTTTATAGGTAATCGAGATCCGTCACTGAACACCCACGTGCCTGCATGTGTGCTTCATTATTTCTTCATCTTACATCATGCCATCAATCTGACACCCTGCTTCCACTACGACATATTGATTCCGGTGCTGATTTTGTTGCCTTTGTACACGAGTCCAATTAAAAAAAAAAGTGGTCCAGGAAGAAAATTTGCCTGGAAACCCGTAGCCATGAATTCATGATGATGCCATATCTACCTTCTACCTCTCACCCCACCACACAAAATTTAAGCTGTTAATTGGCACGTTGGAAAGTTGCCTAACTGGTTTTCAATATACTGCTAAACACGAACACTGACACAAGGAAGGCGAATGTAACTGCGAAACTTTCTTTTTTCAAAAGTGTACTTGAGGAGAGATTAGTGTACAAGTCGGTTTCCTGGCCGCTTGTCATTTCTTACAAGATGGTTATCCCACCGCACTGTCATTAACTAAATTGCCGATAAGAGAACTAACGAGTACAGCTTTATATGTGCACTGAATGTCCCAGCGTTACTGTACAAAAGTTCACGCAATGGCAAAGTTTCCGCAAAGGATATATGTTCAAACTTTCGAAATACAAACGTCCGCAACGGAAAAGTTCAACCCTCTTACACACACAAGTTTTTTGCGTGCTTTTATTTTCAGTGCCCCAGACACAGTTCTTTCGTCCGAATTTGGGCGGTACGCCATACCTTTTGAGGAAAATAGAGTTTGACAAACGTTGATCGTGTACACCACATTCCTCTTGTCTTAGAAGTTTAGTAGCCTACCTTATAAATGAGGGTTACAGGTTTTATATTGTGCAATTACAAGTACGATCACAGTACCCACGTAGAAAAACGATGCTGTAACTTCTTTGTGTTGGCTCTCTTGCTTTCATTGCCACTTGTTATATTGTTTATGACGTCATATCTTTGTTCTTTGTACTCCTGCCGTTCACTCACGTGCAAACGAAGAAAGCCATTTGTCTTGTCATGTCCCATTGCGAAACATGTACGGTCGTGCGCGTTCTTCCATCTCATCATCCATCACCGCCGTCTATTCACCAGTACAACCGCACTATATTTGTGATTCCTGTAACTATGTAGACACTTTTCCTGAATAAAACATGACACTACGTGTATATGCTTCCTCATTGCTATTACCAACTGTTCATGAGTTGCCTGCCTAAGCACAAATCCTGCTTGCTTGAATTGTTTTTCTCTTGTTTTTTTACTGTCAGTGTTATGGTAGAGTTAGCAAAGGGGCAGAAAAAGTTCACAGGCTATCAAGAATTTCATTCAATATTTACGTATCGCTTATAAACCAGCTTGGTAAAAGAAGGCGACGTTATTATTCTTACTTCTGAATCTTCAATGGTAGGACTATACAAAAACTGCGATATTTATTCATGGTTAGAGAGCATAAACACTGGCTAAACAAACGTGCCTTCGCATAGTTCAGCCTGCGCAGAATGGTACCCCACCCCCCCTTCTAACTTGGAGAACACAAAATCACACTGTATGCCAAAATAAAAATAAAACAGGGGTTACTTCTCATGACGTTCAGAAGTTTTGCAGCTCGGGCGAGTCGGTTATCCATGAACGTAGCTTGTATTGGCGCGGCACATATGAAAAAAAGAAGAAAAAGACAAGAAAAACGTCAAGAAAGGTAAGCGCTGACCTTTCTCGACGTCTGTGTCGTCTTTTGCTTTTTTTTATATGTGCTTAGTTAATACAAACTTCTCATGACGGTCTGTTTTTGGTTTGCAACATTGGGGGGTAAAGAGTAGGTACAAACAATGTTTGCAATAATAGGCCACGGATTTTCCTTCATGATTATTGGCAAAAAGCGGCTGCTGGGCCATGACACTACACTTTAAACCATTTCGGGACAATAAAGCTATATGACACATTCAGTGCCTCCTTTAGCTGAATAAAGAAGACTATTTTTTGCCCCTACTTCACTTTCTTCCTTCTGAGCTATTACCTATGTGTTCTCGGCTGAACGCGACATACGTGGTTCAAGCAGGATGATGCGCTGGAGCGAGGAAATGGCTTTCGAATCACTCGTAAGGAGCGAGAGAAAGTATACGCATGAAAGTAGCTAGCTCGCCCATACACCACACCGTGTACAGCTGCGCCAATTGCTGATGTTGTACACACACACACACCACACACACACACACACACATATATATATATATATATATATATATAATATATATATATATGTGTGTGTGTGTGTGTGTGTATTCGAGCTGTGGCAATATATATATATATTATATATATATATATATATATATATATATATATATATATAAGGGAAAGAAGTGTATACCTAAGGGCTCGTTTTTCCGTGTTTTAACACAATATTATTGAGATATAACAGACAGTAATGCGAAGGAATGTACAGGGGAAGTTATTAAAACCAATGTAATGTAAATAAGAAGAAAGAAAAGTGGATGAAAAAATTACCAACTGTGAGCAGGAATCGAACCTACGACCTTCGAATTACGCGTTCGATGCTATATATATATATATATATATATATATATATATATATATATATATATATATATATATATTATATATTATATATTATATATTATATATATATATATATATATATATATATATATATATATATTGCCACAGCTCAAACATCGCAGAAGACGCTGCCACAACTCGCGTTCGTAAAAGCCGCCAAGCAAGTAGCAAGAAAGCCGCGCCATGGAACGCCGTCCTGCACGCGCCATGATGCTACGCCACGGGACCAGCACGAGACTCGAGGGCAGAGGAAGAGACCGACGAAGTTGGAGTCAGCGAGCAAGAGGCATTCTTGGCTGACCATTTTTAGCTTTGAGTTTACGGGCACAAGTTCGCCCTAAATAAAGAGTTTATATAGTACCAGGTGCTATATTTATCCGTAACAATCTGGTGTACGGCTGGGTATGGTTCCAAGCCCACCACAGGCAAGGGAGAGGAGCCCAGATCCCAGAAGATCCAGCAGAATTGACACCTGTGCACCAACGCATGAGTCGCCGACTACGTGGTGAGCAGCCCGAGTTCGGCCCCCTAATTGACCCATCAAGACCTGTCGAGACCTCAAGCACAAGCGTCACTGCGATGGCCACCCAGTCGATGCCATCTCCATCTCACCTCATTGTGGATTCGCCACGTACACCAGAGGTCTTCCACGGTGAGACCTTTGAAGATGCCGAGGACTGGCTTGAAGGCTTCGAGCGCGTTGCACGATTGAATGGTTGGGACGAAGCCCGAAAACTTCGTTACGTTTACGTCGCCCTGCAAGATTCGGCACGTACGTAGCTTGAGAACCACAAAGCGTCCTTGCTGTCGTGGGAAGACTTCCGACGAGAGCTAATCGCAACCTATCCGAACACGGACCACAAAGAGAAGGCAGAGGCTGCTCTTCATGCAAGGAACCAACGGAATAACGAGAGCGTGGCCATGTACATAGAAGACATGTCGCGGCTCTTCCGCCAAGCCGACCAAAACATGGCCGAGAAGTTGCGGCACCTAATGCGCGGAGTAAAAGAAGAGATTTTTGCAGGCCTGGTGCGTAATCACCGCGAACTGTGGCGGAGTTCCGGTCCGAGGCAACGACCAAGGAAAGGACACTACAACAACGTGCGTGACTGTACAACAGAGACTTCAACGTCTCTTCAGTCAGGGCGGAGTCAACAACCCTCCCCACCAACGTTGACGTCCTCCGGGAAATGGTGAGGGCTATTGTTAAGGAGGAGCTCCAGAAACTGCAACTCCCCCAAAACCCTCCAGCGATGCCCTCAATCGCGGACGTTGTACGTGAAGAAGTGCGGCAATCAATTATTCAACCGCAGCCTCAGGTGCCACACCACACGCAACTGGAACCTCAGCCACAGCTGTCGTACGCGCAAGTCGTACGGCAAGACATGAGACGCCCGAGCTTTGCACAAGCTTCCGTTATGCCACCGACCTTTTCTCGCAGTACGCCACCACCGATGCCAGAAGCGAGACCCCGCAAAAGTGATGTATGGCGCACGGCAGACCAGCGGCCCCTCTGCTACCACTGTGGGGAGGCAGTTCATCTTTATCGGACATGCCACTACCATCGGGTCGGGCTACGTGGCTTCTCAGTGAATGCACCCTGCCCTCGTAACGGTGAGCGCCCTTACTAAATCGAAGAATATTTATCTTCGCGCTAGCATATCCAAACGCTCAGTGACATGAATCGCGGTCGATTGCACCAATGCGCAATAGGTCGCCGAGTCCACAACCATCATCTACTTTCCCGAAGCGTCGTTCACCAAGCCCGCGACGGGAAAACTAGAACCAGCGACCTGTGGAGGCAGGGCCGCTGATTTCCGGAAAACTGTTTTTCGTGAATATGCCGGACTAGCTGATGGAAATATCGAACTGCTACTCACAAAGGGGATACGCGTGGCGAGAGGTCTAGTGAACCTGCGGAACGGATATACTGATGTGCTATTGACTAACTTTACCAACGAGGTACAGCATGTGGCGAAGGGAGCAGCCATAGCATCACTTCATGACTACGTACAAGTCTCAGATGTTTGCACCATAGGAAAAGTACCCACAACGCCCTCAACAGTGGACAGTGTCCTCGAGAAAATAGATATTGACCGAGAGCTTTTATCTCTGCAGAAAGACCAAATTGTGGAGTTGATCAAGGAATTCACAGAGTGTTTTTCCTCTTCATCGAAAGTCGGACGTACACCTGTAGCAAAGCACCGCATTGTAATCGAAGGGCATGTTAGACCAGTATGTCAGCATCCATACTGAGTAGCCCCGAAAGAAAGGGAGGCGATAAAGAAGCAAGTACAGGAGATGCTCGACGACGATGTCATACAGCCCTCCAAAAGCCCATGGGCATCGCTGGTAGTGCTGGTGAAAAAGAAGGACAACACCATGCGGTTCTGTGTTGATTACAGAAAACTCAACCTCGTCACGAAGCGAGATGTGTACCCACTCCCACGAGTCGACGATACGTTGGACAAACTGCGCAATGCTCACTTTTTTTCATCGTTGGATCTAAAGAGCGGGTACTGGCAAATAGAAGTCGACGAACGAGATCGGGAAAATACGGCGTTTGTGACACCCGACGGACTCTACGAGTTCAAAGTACTACCATTTGGTTTGTTTTCTGCTCCCTCTACCTTCCAGAGGATGATGTACACTGTGCTCCCCGGCCTCAAATGGCAGTCGTGTCTTGTCTATCTTGATGACGTAGTAATTTTTTCCACTACGTTTGAGCAGCACGTACGGAGATTGAGAACGGTACTGGACGCTATTCGTATGGCTGCACTTACGATAAAACCTGAAAAGTGCCACTTTGGATTCCGGGAGCTTCGGTTCCTCGGGCACATTGTCAGTTCTCATGGTGTCCGCCCAGATCCGGATAAAATCTTGCGGTTGAAAATTTCCCAAGGCCAACAGACAAAAAAGCTATGCGACGTTTCCTGGGGCTTTGTGCCTACTATAGGCGCTTCGTTGAAAACTTCTCCAAGATTGCGGAACCACTGACACGGCTTACGAAGGAAGGTGTACCATTTATCTGGCACCAAGAGCAAGAAGACGCCTTCTCTGAGTTACGAAGGCGTTTACAGTCACCTCCCATACTCGCTCATTTTGACGAAGATGCCAAAACAGACATTCATACGGACGCCAGCAACGTTGGCCTCGGTGCTATTCTTGTTCAATGGCAGAACGGCGAAAAAAAAGTTATTGCTTATGCAAGCCGCACTCTGTCGAAGCGGAGTATAATTATTCACTACGGAAAAGGAATGTCTCGCAGTTATACAGGCCATCAGTAAGTTCTGTCCATATTTTACGGTAGACCAATCCGAGCCATCAGTGACCATCATTCATTGTGCTGGCTTGCGAACCTCAAGGATCCTTCCGGAAGACTTGCTAGATGGAGCCTGCGTCTACAAGAATATGACATCACCGTAGTATATAAGTCTGGCCACAAGCACAATGACGCAGACTGCTTGTCACGAGCACCAGTCCAGGCCTCGTCTCCTGAGCATGAACAAGACTCCGGATTTCTTGGAGCTGTGAATGTGTCGGAGATGGCTCATGATCAGCGAATAGACCCAGAATTACTTCTGCTCATTCA